GGGGGGGGTCGTACGGACTCGGCTAAAACCCCAACCGATGATGTGCCCTGGCGGATAGTTTTGCTGAAATTCAAAAAAGCCCGGGAAAATGCTGCTGGGCGCTGGTGTTCGCTAGATCAATCCATACACTTTTCTGGTCGCTAAACGCTGGTGGATGCTAACGCAAGTAGCATTTCGTAGATTCACAAGATTTCACAGGCCATCAAGATCCTTTTGATGGCTCGACACGTCCCTGTTAATTAGCATAAGTGCAAAATGCCCACCCTCTCCCTATTCCCTCCACCGAACTGCCCCAAATGAATCCACGCTTTTCAAAAAGCATACATTTTGAACAGTGAAGGGAATTCGGCACAACTACATGAAGCAGGGAACGACTGAGCATGAATTCATAAAGATACCAAAGTTGCCTCTTTTTACACTAACTCACAGCAGGATAGTTTTTTTTCTCTCTACCAGCTCGAAAATGAAGTAGAATAGACGAGGCACCTCACAAACGAAACCGATTCTATTGGATAGTAAAGGAGCAGTTACATAACCAGTTGGCTGCGGCTACCAGAAATTCTGATAACAGCTCACCGAGAACCAGTTCAATAAAATGTTAGTGGCATCGGCAGAATAAAAGAGAAAACGCCCAACAGCATGGAAGAAAATGAATTTTGCAGTGGTTGAATAGGCAAAGCTTGTGATTCTAACTTGTTACTTGTTCTAAGTGAACTTAAGTAATTTTCAAAGTACCAGATACCAGATGGGTATGATATGTTTTTTCGAATGTCCTCTTTTTTCGGTAGACTAGTCGCCATTGAAGAGGTGTGAATGCATATTCGCTGTGATGTTATGAGACTGCGTTCATTGCGTCTGAGGAGATTCGACGACTCAGTGTTTTTTTTTAGATTGAGCGACCTGCCCATTTGCGGGACTCGACGATCTGATGTTTAGGAAGATTGAGCAATTCAGGGATATGTGAGAATGGACGTTTCGGGCGTTTGCGCGCTAACGGAGTAGATGGGTGATCGGCGCCAGTCGCTAGCAATCGATTCGGAATTGGAAATCGCAGAATCTCCTCGGTCGCAAAGTATGGACGTGAGCTAACATTCCGGGCGCTAGCTGAATAACTGTGTATTATGGTGCATTTTGAACCACTGCAAACACTTTTCATTGTAAACGGTGAGGGAAGGCTTTTTGAGCGGACTCACCGATGGTGCGGAACTGAAGCAAGGGAAAAAGATAAGCCTGGGAAGAAAGAGCTCCGGGTGAACTTCTACTTCACTTAGGTTCCACGGCAGATGAAACAATTTAACTACCTGAGCTCCTTTCCCTAGAATACAAAAAACCCTCATCCTTTAACACCTTTTCCACTCATAAATCCATCTGGAGAGTGATAACAAATTGGATTCGGAGGAGGAGGGGGGGGGAACAAAAATGTATTATTCTGCAATCGTTTCGACTTCATCGCCTTCGCCGGTACCTGGAAATGTGGGAAACAAATGAACCACTTCCCCTTCGTGGATTCCGCGACGTCCGAAACTGCAGCTCTACAGGGTCCCTAGGTATGGATGCAGTGACAAAGCTAGGGACTTGGCTTACCTCAATGTACGTCGAAGTGAGATCGACCACCCATGCAGTACTTATGCTCAAACGTAGGCCGCTTACTAGTGCACTGAAACTCTTCCAGAGCCCAAGGGGTACTTGGCATGGAAAGTTTTTGTTTTTGACCCTTCCAAGCTCTGATGAAGGCTGTCAACCCGAGAAGTTAATCATACAAAATAAAGAAACTTAGGCCACTCAAGTAAATTGCAAATTCGGACTACAGAGAAGTACAAAGGGATCTTTCTGAACAGTAACAATATTTTACTAATAATAATTTAGTTCAAGGTAGGAGATCACTTTTGAAACAAGGAAAAATTCTAAGAAGTTCAAATGCATTAGTTCAAAAGGTGATAAGGAGAACGAAAATGCTGCGAAAGCAAAATGCAGACAGACCATAAAGATGTCCTTTATCAAAAACTTGCTTGTAGTCAGAAGGCTTTGTCTCAACGGGACTCGAACCAACCTAAGTGAAAAAACAGGTAGGTACTCTTCTATGCATCAATGACAAGTCTCCTGTGATAGTACAAGCTAACTTTAGAACCCTCTTATTATCCTTCGAAGGAGCAAAAAATGTGTGTAGCGCCTCAAACATCATTCATAAACCCCTAAAACACCATAGTCAGTTTAAATTTCAGAATAATACATCCCAAGGAGTACTGTGCATGCATGGCTTTGAAACAAAGACTTTAAATATTGTAATCCGCGGCCTGATGAAGGACTTAACGACCAACGCTTTTATTTCAGGTGTTTATACGTTTAACTCTTTCCAGGAACAATAAAACCAACACCATAATCCGACTGTGAGTACGATTCCAGTAACTAATTAGAAGAGGAAATTACAGAACCATACAAAGAGACGAAAACGTTCAATAGGCTTTGAATGAGACGAAACGCGTCGCGCCGGGGATGAGCAATAATTTTTCGCCCGTGCTCTCTTGAGCTATAGATATTCCGTAGTGCACCTGCAGAATGTACGCAGCCATGTGTTAGGGGGTGGTCACGTGACTCTGTTACGTACCTCTGGCTCCTTTGCATTTAACCGAGAAAATCTTTCGCCTTTTACTAAAGATTTCCGTGCAAAGGAGCAATTATGAGTATATACCAATTTTTGGAATCCCCTCGAAAGAGCGGGATAAAACGGAGTTTGCTGGGACGAGGGTAGGACGATAGAGGTATCTTCCACTCGCAAGAGGGGGTGGGACAATAGCGAGGAATCCTTCCCCTCGGAAGAGTGGGGAAAAAAGGATGGGTTATCTGGGGCGAGGAGGTTGGTGTAGCCGAGGGTGGGATTAGCATTCCTGTGGGCAATGATCTCCGTCGCGAAGTGTGGGTTTGTGGTTGAAAAGAGTAGCGTGGATACACATCACCTCTCCGGCCGGCGCACAGTACGTAATCATTCCGCTCAGAAGGAGTCCTCTCAGTGTCGGGACAGGTTGTTGAAGTAGGTGATACAAAGTCCAGGAAACTGAGCTGTTTCTCGCGATCTTACTGGCACACTTTCAAAGAAGTGCAAACTCGTATGGAACTCGCGTGGCGCTTACAAATCCATCTGTTGCTATACTGGTGTGTCGCATAGCGCGACCGCATCGGCGCAGGCATGATATACTACACTCCATATTTTTGAAACGCAGTAGGCGTAGGTACGTACTTCATTTGAACATTTCCTAGGATTTATTCGCGGGTACTTGAATCGATCTTGTGTCGGGTTCATAGATATGATCAAAATGTTCCGGAAGGGAGATACTTACGCCAGGAGCGTAGGTGCCGCGAAGTACACTCTACACCACGGAGATAGGGAGAGCGGGCCTGCTTACTTCATTTAAACGTGCTGGTTGCTGCACTTTGGCAGGATACTGTGGAGCAGCTGTACTCATTTCATGTCCAGTACACAACAGAATGATAGTTGCCTTTAAATGGAAGTATCCCTCA